AAAACTCCCCAATCCCCGGAATTTTCTGGGTATTGGTTTAATTTTCTCAGAATTTTCTGGAAAATTACGGCTTTGGGAATGATTTTCCAAGAAAATTTCAATTCCGGCTATTGAAGAGTTCTGGGTTTGAGGCATTCTGGCTAACGGAGATATTACTTACAGGGATAGTCAAACTTGGTGACCTGCCAAGTCAACAAGCATTCACTTAACACAACATTCCATCTCCACAGAGATGTGCTTAGCATTTATATTACTATTTAATTTATATATTAAGCTACTTTATATGTATTAGACTCAAATTTAATTAAATGTACAATACAGGTACAGTATTAGTTAGTGAAGGAACAAGCAACTTAATTTGGCATTGATGAGAATTATCCATGGCCATGGGACCTCACCCCCCATTTCCCATACGCCTTTAGTCTTGCCGATTGCTGATTTCCCAACCACGGGGTTTTCGGGAACGTAACCCCCACTGTTGGCGGGGGAATAATGTATAATCAAGAACTACTGGTATCTCTGGCAGAGTCATTAAAAAGAAGCAAAATTTGAGTTATCAACAATGACTGCGGCAAGGATGTGTTTGCATTTATAGCAAGCAACTCGAGTAATTCTTAAAAGTCCCCAAACACCACATAAAATCTTGGAAGATCCAACTGAGAGTTTTATGTCATTACATACTGCAAGCCTAACTAAAAATATGTTAAGGGTAGATACATGCATTCTCTTGAAAAAAAGGACAATCAAGACTGCAATTTTTTTACATGTCCAAGAGAGTGTAATGGGAGATAAATTTAATTCACTGTGACATCAGAACACCTAGTGGTTGATGTGTATGAAATAGTGACGTCAGGCATTAGTATTATGTTTGTTTAGGAATAAAATTTTATGCCTGATCAATTCTTATTAAATGTAAAAGCAACATGACTTGTTTATCGTGGGCAAATACACATACATAGCAATGAATAAGGTTAATGATAATTTATGAATAAATGGTAGAAGATATAAAACAATGGAACAGGTAATAGACAATATGGACTTTACAAATTCTAAACTGAACACTATGTGTAGGATAGAAACAAGGTAAAACTGACTAAATATACAACAAACTAATGTTCTCCCAAAGTCATCTACAGTAAATAATTTATTCATTGTTTCTGAACAAACCCTGTGAGGATATTCTACAAGTTAATAGAAAAAAGTGTTCAAAATGCATACTATTGAAGGACTTTGTTAGTTAAAATTTGAGCAAATTTAGTACTGGATGGTTGGACTATCCTATTCCCTCTAGTTCTCTAGAACCAAAACACAACAACTTCTTTATGATTTACCCTGTTGTATATAAGAAAGGGACATCAGAAGAAAGTTAACACCAGCATCTCACATTGTTTTGTATGTATGCACTTCATCTGGTTACTCCCCATACCATACCAGAATATTGCCAGAATATCTACCTGCTCTGGTTGAAGGTAGCATGAAACAAAATTAGCTGTGTGCAAGTTGCACATGTTACAGCATTCATAATCCTATAATTCTATATGCAGTGTTTTGCATAAGTTTCTGTTGTATATTGTAGTGGAAAATAAAGTATGGTAGTGTGTACACAAAATTTCAGGGTGCATATATACAGCTACATCAAATGGTATGATGTTATACATATTTTCATGTTTATTATCCATGTTTTTGAGAAAATTAGTAATAATATTCTGTACAAGGTAGATAGGTGCTATGCAACAGGTAACAGAATTGAAAATGTTGAGATATACTGTATATTGCACATAGTAAAGTGCTTTCAAGTTTCGTGTGGCTGGTCTAGATATGTAATATTTGATAAATTACTAAAGATTGGGCACTGCTGCATAAAATGAAATGCAGTGGCTATTCAGCCGCCATTGAGTGAATAGCCTGGTCTACACAGCCAGCTATTCAGTCGTGAACCTACGTTTGACATAAACAAAAGTTTTCAGAACTAAATGCTTTTGTTTATATCTGATGTGTAGCTTGCTTTTATGGAAGTTACTGTATATTGTACACTTTTATTTACGGTTGGCAAAAATGGAAGATCTGGTTAATTACCTGAACAATGCTACCAATTCTGAAACTGAATTCCTGCCCGTTACCAATTCCTATTTATAAAAAATTGCTAGATTCTTACCTAAAAGTAGCATTAACTGTACACTGTAACATCAAAACTTAAAATTGTAGGCATATAAACAGCAATAATGAAAACATATAAACAACAAAGATGAAAACATAAAAAAAAAATATTTATACAAGTTAAGTGTACGTATTGCAACCCAATCTCAAGGATGCTAGCCTCCTAATTGATGACGAGCCTGCCATCTAATTAAGGTATTCTCATTTCTGCCACAAAAAGGCATACCTTAGGTATGGTGCCATAGGATAACCCCTCAATTGCTGTAGTCTTCTTAGTGTGTCTGTCACTTCATGTTGGTGTCTGTCTGGCTGTACACCAATCTGACCATGTTAGATTGAGGCCTAGTTACTGGTAATCCTGTCCTGTCCTGTCCTGTCCAGAGATATCAACACTCTGATCAACCTATGACACACATGGTGGTAGTCCTGTTGTTAGATATATTCTATTTATGTTCTGAATACAATTCCTACATTATTGATATTATTTACATAAGCCACAAACATTTTATCCTCTCATCACCGTAAATAAAAGTGTACGATACATACAAATATCTTCCAGAGAAGTAAGCTACACAACAGATACTGTATAAACAAACACATTTAGTTCTGAAAACTACTGTTTACATCTGGTCTTGTTAAGCATAAGTTCACGGTTGAATATAGCTGGCTGTGTAGACCAGTCTATTCACCTGGTGACGGTTGAATAGCCACTGCAAAAATAAAATAGAATACAATACAGGTAATTCGAGTTTGGTACGAGGCACTTTTATAGATTATATGGTGTCTAAATCTAAGGTTTCAGTAGTCTAGGTTTAAGGGTCTTTGAATTTTGCCATAGACAAAATATAAAGGAGGAATAGGTATTATGTACACCCACACATACAAACATTAAAACTTTGACGCATGAATATAAGAAGCTTTGGGAAGAAGTATGTAACAAGGAATGACAATGGAAATTATTTTTTGATGAAGAAAAAAAGAAAGAAGCCATTTGTTAAAGAGAAAACTGTGTGTGATAACTAAAGGATAATAAATAATAATACCAAGCAGAATAAGAAAACACTACTGAGTAATTTAGTAAGACACAAGGAGATGATATTTGTTTCCTCCTTCACAACCAATGAACAGTCACCACAACCCCTTACTTTGATAATATTCAAACTTGTTTATTCTACATTGAAGTACAGTTTTGTTTTAAATTATATAAAACAAAAGTTTTGCCATTTTTATGACTAAAAACACATGACCACAATTCTGACCACAATTCTACAATTAAACAAGGCCTGGCCATCACATTAACACTCATTATAAGTGTTGCTTCATTTATAGTATATTTCAGTCTATATTTACAAATATTAGTTATTATGTAGCAGTAAAGCACACTGTACATTAACCATTTATAGTCTCATGAATACAGCAGTGTAAGGCATAACTGTACACAGTAACACTGAAATATTCTTATAAGGCCCAACCACAAATACCCAGTCAGGTACAGTACTGTAAGGCTCAACCATAACATATATAATCCATCCATTCTAGAATTTGTTCACACATTTTTATCAAAGAATTTATCTTCCTTATCCTAGAATATTCCTTGTATATCAATGATAAAAGTCCCTCTCAATTCACTGATTAAATTTTAACCATTAATATGCACCCCAGTGTAACAGCCCTACATGGCCACGCACAGACATTCTTAATGTCTAATTTGTTTCAGTCTTAGGTGTTCACCCTGACACAGTCAACAAGATTCATCCTTAAACATCTACCAATGGACTCTTTAAAAAACTATCTGGGGAAATATTGCAGGAATCATCCATACAATGTTCACTGTGAAACAATACTGGAAGGTTCAGCCATCATAAACACTGTAACAAATGTAATTTATTTCATAAACTTCCACATTAATGCACCAAAGTATTGTAATCTTTGTATACATACATTGCTGCATTATTGTCTTGTTCAAACCTTAAAAAGTAGTGTGACAGTTGACAGGTCAATATAAGGCTACACTATGCACAGCTCTTTAGATAAATCATTATAATTACATTATTGTAATATAGTAATACAGTACTGTATGTATATACGGTGATCCCTCGGTTAACGAACGCCTCGGTTAACGAAATTTCGGTTAACGAATTACCTTCCATAAGAATCTTCAATTAGGTTAACGAAAAAAATTTGGTTAACGAATTCCTTACAAATTCTTCTCAACATGTTTTCGCTTGCTCACCAGCTGGAATATTAGTCCGCCAATACAGTGATCGGTTCTAGGGCTTAAATTCGTTCCCATTTGAATAAATATCAAGAAGGTTGTACTATTCAATAATTTTAAAAGTTTTATATTAAAATTTTTAGTCATTTTAACAATTATTGAACATAATTGAAGTACAGGAAACTAGTTTTTAGCGTGAGAAACAGCCACTTGACTCACCCAGCAGGCGTCAGTTTGTGTCTCTGCTCAGTGGAGGTAACATCTTGCTTGAGACTCTCTTGAACATAAACTATTTTTACATTTTTACAGTAAAATTATTGGTCATTCTAAAATTTATTTTACATATTGACAATATATAGCGCTGTGCAGTGTTGATTTAAAGAAAATAATCTTGAATTACACCTAGTAAACTTAAAATTTTATGGGTGAAATGGCAGCATGAAGCATGGGGTGATTTCTCTTTCACCCCCACTTCCTTCTCTTCTCCTCCAACTCCACTTCTAATTGCAATCATCATCATCATCAACCAGGAGCCTTCTACATGCACACCTCAAAGTAAGTGTACTTTACTGCATTTATTTTTAGTTTGTATGTAATTTTAGGTGAATTGGAACCAATTACCCCAAATCCCATTGAAACAATGGTTTCGTTTGACGAAATTTTCGGTTAACGAGCGACCTTCTGGAACGAATTGTGGTCGTTAACCGAGGGACCACTGTACAGGTATTTTGACTTTAATATTATTCTAATACTTTATTGTAAAATATGACCAGCTACTGCATTATAGTTTAATTCCAGTCTCTTTTCACACAACGTCTTTGAAATAAAATTGTTGCTTAAGGTCACAGCCTCGGGTATTCATGTTTCCTATATCACAAAATACTTGTTTCAAGCTTTTTTCTTATCCAGCAGTGTTATTCCCTTAGCATGAAAAAATTCACTAGGAATTTCACTCATGTTTAGTATTTCACAATTTCCAAAATGTTGGTATCTTATACAATACAGGAGGACAACTTTCCATTTGCTATAGACCTACACACTCTAATGTTCTTTGCCAAGCTTACAGTACCACATTAGTAGAAGTAAAATTGGTAATGAAACCTCCAGCATGCTGTTTCCTTGTTTTTGCTTTGTATATTTACTCCTTTATGGATTTTTTTTTAAATGGAAAACTTCCAACAGCAATATTTATTCAGAAAATATTTGCAAATGTCTCGCATTCATTCTAGTGTTTCATACAGGAGTTTCTCGATCAACTGATGGTAGTTTACAGGTTATTTGGGATGTGGGTGAGGTCTCAAGGGCATCCTGGCGCAAGAGAGGTGTAATGGGGTGGCTGCTGGTGTCCATACAATGGTTCAATGGATGGGCATTTTCAACATCAGGTGTGAGGGTAGGGGGAGTATGAGTTGGCGTTGTACAGCTGTAGGGTGGTGTTGCCAGAACAAGCGGAGAGGTTTCTGCATCATCTGAAGAGTCCCTAATTGCACCATCGTGAGAGCCAAGGGCACGGTGAAGTTTGTGCTTGATACGCCGCAGCTTCTCCAGTGAGGTAGAGGAAAACTGTTCAGCTAAAGACACATGTTTCATCCCAGCAACTGCTTCTGGAAGGTCTGGTAAAGATGCTAAAGGGACTTCATCATTGAGTAACTGATCAGTTTGTGGAGATACAGGGCTTGAAGCTGTTCGGTCTCGGATACCACCGCCCAAGTTGAGTGATTGTGGTCGATCACGACGTAATGGAGATGATGAATTTGATAAGGATATCTGTTTTATAAAAAAAAAAAAAAATAGCTGTTAAAACATCTTTCCTTAACTCAAGTCACTAAATACAGTACAATACTGTATTGGTTAAAATTGCCAGTGATACTGTACATACCCTGATAATACTCGACTAACCTATACAGTACTAGCATTAACCATTAAATGTTGGCTGAGGATTCCCTTTTTCACCCCAGTATGCACAAAATGTCCATAATTACAGGTACTGTACTGTACTGCCTAAAAACTGGTGAAATTTTTTCAAAGGGGCAAAAAATCAACCATCAACAGCACCACCAACTTTGTGGTAAATACTGTATGTCCAGTATGTGCAAGAATTATATACAGTATATATTATACTGCAGGTCAGTGATTCAAGTGATTCAAAAGTGTTTATTTATTTTTGCCACCGCACAGTTTGATCTGGACTATTTCCTGTTAATCCAGACTCAATCTGGATTAACAGAAATTAGTCCAGAGTAGTTTACCAGTCTGGATAAACAGAAATCTGGATAAAAAGAGTCTGGATTAAGAGGGTTTTACTGTACAGTAAATTGACGAGTACCTGTATAATCATACAACTTATTTTCATCAGTCTTTGCTTCACCAATCTTCATTACTGAGCTGCATTCTTACTACCTGTACCTACATTAATAATCCCTGTCACGTAAGCTCTATAAATAGTGCATTAAGTCAGATAAATTTCTATTATCATTGAGTTATTTCCCTCAACCATTTTAGAAATATTCTAAGTTGGAGAATTAGCCTCTGGTTTGTGGCTGTAACACGTCAGAATTATTACTCTGTTCATGTCATACTCTTTCACACCATGACATATGTCTTTAACAACAGAGTATAACCCAGTTGTCATGGACTGATACTGTACAGTGAACCCTCGCTTTACGCGGTTTCACTTTACAAGTTTCTACATTTACACGGTACCCTGCCAGAACCGGAATTCCACTTATCTACTCATATACACGGGTGAAGTATAATTTTTTTATTTAGCTCATAAAATTCATACAAATTACCCGGCCAGAATATAATTTACATTGCTGGAATTCTTACAATTTGATGATCATTTTGAATATAAGCATCATAGATTTTGCATTAGACATATAAATTTTAGATCTAATGCAAGTATTTTGTTTACTCAGAGCAAATATGTTATCTATTGTGCCAAATATATGACGTGTATATTCAAAATATTCCTGGTCTTGCAAGGAATCCAGCAATGTGAACTATATTATCCAAACTTTAGTCTGAGGTATTATTTATTGCTAAAAAGGTAAATATTCTGGTTTCTCCCAAACATTTCTCTGGTAGGGAAGGACCGACCGACCAAGCTAGAGTGGTGGGAAGAGGGGGGGAGGTAAGGTGGGGTATTTTGATTGACAGATAGTGTTGTGAAGAATATTTTTTTTTTTATTAACTGAAGATATTTGTTTTAGCTCATAAAATTCATACAAATTACCCGGCCAGAATATAATTTACATTGCTGCAATTCTTACAATTTGATGATCATTTTGAATATAAACATCATAGATTTTGCATTAGACATACAAATTTTAGATCTAATGTAAGTATTTTGTTTACTCTGAGTAAATATGTTATCTTTTGTGCAAAATATATGACATTTATATTCAAAATATTTCTGGTCTTACAAGGAATCCAGCAATGTCAATTATATTATCCTAACTTTAGCTTGAGGTATTATTTATTACTATACCTTAAAATCTAGTGTTTTCCCCCAAACATTTCTCAGAAAGGGAAGAGCCAGCGAGTGTGAGAAGAGGGGGAGGGAATTGAGTCCATTATTTGAATAGACATTAACTTGGCGACTGTATTTCTCTATTTCTCTTAAATATTAATTGTGTGCGTGTACCATCATAAAATTAAGATGTTATTTTTACTAGAACATAGGTATTGTGTCGGAAAAAATGGAATTTGGGGGTCGGCCCGGTCTCTATTTCAATTAATCCCATATGTTATGTTGTTCACTTTACGCGTTTCTCACTTTACGCGGGCCTCCGTGGGTTCAATTGACCACGTAAAGTGAGGGTTGACTGTAATATTAAATGTATACCTCTATACCTGTCCCCTTCTCTATTAATATTAAATAAAGTAAACAAAAAATACTTACCCTTCTGATTGGCGATGCTTCTCTGTGCTCAAAACTTTTTAATGATTTCTCAGTTCTGAAAGAAACATTCTGAGATATTCCTTGAGGTCTCTCTACAGCACTATGCTTGGGAGAAGTTGAAGTGGAAGAACACCGCAAGGATGATGCTCTGAGAAAATATTTTGGGTTTAGATTATATATGGAAAAATACAACTTTGTTTGTCATACTCTAATGTTATCAAAGTTGACATGAAATTTGTTTTAGAATGAGTTTTCATGTTTGTAGATGTATCTAGATTCAAGACTTGATGAACAGCTATACTGTAATCACTTAGGAAAGAAGCAGAAAATAAAATAAAAATTTACACAATGAAAACACTTAGTATGACTTATGAACAACCTTGAATTACAATAAATGGATTTATATACTTGTGTTACCTTGAGAGGGAAGCATTATTAGATTTGTAAGGAGAGAAACTGGAGGCAAGGGAAGGTGCGGCAGATTCAGCATCCGACACTGGGGCTGACACAACCCTATGAGAGACCAATGGTGATGACTGCAAGTACATGACATCCACTTCATCATTTCCCACCACACGACCCCCACCTTCACTCGACTCGCCTGTGTACAAATGATGCTATTAATATTCTGTACAGAAATTGGCTTCAGTCAAATGTAAGATGCACCTGAAAAAAAGTATCATAAATCTGGTATAACTATTTAACAAGAAAAATATACATACTGTATATTGATTTTTGGTTATAATGTACAGGTGTTATAATAATCCTGCCCGGAAAAAAACTACTTTCTAAAAATTCAGGTTTTCTAATGTAATGAAATAGAAAACTTTAAAAATAAACACTTACATTTTTATTAGCTTCAGGGACAGCGGCTAATATCAATGGAAAGAGCAAGAGAAGAAGACCAAGAACGATTGACTGGCTATACAGGGAGGACACTAACTTCATTAAACCTTCTGTTATGATCTATGCAATTCAGTAGTGTTATGCTGAATATCAGGTGCATGATCCAACCCTCCTGGGTAACCTGAGCTCATGAGCCTCTTGGCCAGGACACCAATCCACTGATATCAAAGAGACATCCAAGATTATACATCCCCTCTTGTGGAGGCTGGTCAAGACTACCAAGATAGATATCTTGAGATTACTGTAGTAAGAAACTCCATGCTTTAAGCTGTCAGCATGATCAACTTAGCCACAAACAGTACAGGAACCTAACTAAGTAGGACTATTGATACTGGTGCACCATCAGATACAATGCCTCTGTTATGTAGTGTGTCAGGTTTCATCATCAACATCTTCTGGCCATTTTCCATTTTTGTGTGGGTTAACCATGATTACCTGATGGCAGCTGTTGAATAAAACCAGAATGCGATGTCCCCCCCTGCTCAGCACAGTAAACCCAGGGAACCACCCCAGAATATGCAGTAGAGACCAGGAGATAGACATTGCTCCGGTGACCCAGTTGTCATCAGGCATGTTGAAGTAAAGTTTTATGGTTGGATGCCCTTCCTAAAGCCAACACATAAGATGGGAGCAGCTAGCAAAGCTGGGTCACACACTCCCTGGGGCAATCAAAGTACATTAACCCTTTGGCACTCCTTGCCATGGCTGGAAATCTCACCCTCTCACAGTCTTTTGGAGCAGGTCGTGTCGGTAACATGAACTCTTTTTTTTTTTTTTTTTAACGTTGGGTAGAGCAATCCAGACCCAAATTGCATCATTAGAGATACACCTGTCAGCCCATGAGGCTAGTGTGAGAAACTTAGTTGGTTGATGGAGCCGGTCCACTGTTCCCACATTTCTGCTTACAGGAGGGGTGCTCTCAGCGTGAGATGCAGCTGAGCAGGAGAGGTTGTGCCAGCACAAGAGTGCTTAGCATATTCGTTTATTCCTGAGAATATTGTAGAAGTGCATAAGGACCAAAAGAAGAATTAAATAAAAATGTAAACTGTACAGTATTACAGTGGGGTATGCTATAACGAATGGATCCTACTACGAATATTCCTATAACGAACGGTTTTACCTATAAAATTGAGAATGCTATAACGAACGCAACTCCTACAACGAACGCGGATGAATACCGGACTATTTCGCCTGGCGCATGAATATTGTTGTACCGCGACCCACAACAAGAGCGTCAGGCGCCATCTTTGTCTCATTGTGTAGCCAGTGCACCACTGTTATTGTTGAAATTTCGTCTTTTGATGTGGAAATTCGCGTTATTTGTATAACTATTTTGTTATACAAGTATACAATTGTAACAATGAGTCGTCCAAAGCGAGTGAGAAAGCTAATAACCCTTGAAACTAAGAAAGAAATTATAAAGAAACGTGAGAATGGAAGAAGCATTGCGAAACTTAGTGATGAATATGGGATGGCTAAATCGACTATATGTACGATTTTGAAGAATAAAGAGGAGTTAAAAACTGTGCAAGTGGCTAAGGGAATCTTTAGACTTAGCAAAGCAAGGTGTAATGTGATTGAAGAGATGGAAAATTTACTCTTAGTGTGGATAAAGGAGAAAGAAATGGCAGGTGGTAACATTAGTGAAGCTATAATTTGTGAGAAGGCTAAACAATTGTTTGAGGACCTTAAAGCCAAGACTCCCAGTGGAAGTGATAGTGATGTGCCAGTGTTTAGGGGTACCTGCATGCTGAATAACACTAAGGTAAGATAAAGTACCGTATTTTTTACATTTTCCACAGAATTTTTTCAGTGTTAAGCGGTTGTATTTGGGGGCCTGGAACGGATTAATCCTATAACGAACGAATGCTATAACGAACGAGATTCTGGAACCAATTACGTTCGTTATAGCATACCCCACTGTACCATGAATTTGCACCCGTTGTTCTCTGATCTTTGTTGCTGTGTTATTGTGTGGGTACACATTCCTAATTTATTATACAAGTACAGTTGAGTCTGGATTTACGCGGGTTTTGTTTACTCGGTAAATTTGGTCATTTACGAGGGGTGAAGTATACCGGTAATTTGTTTATTTACTGAAGATATTTGTTTTAGCTCATAAAATTCATACAAATTACCCGGCCAGAATATAATTTACATTGCTGGAATTCTTATAAGATTGTAATTATTTTAAATATAAACATCATGGAATCTGCATTAGACATACAAATTTTAGATCTAATGTAAGAATTTTGATTAGAAAGAGCCAAAATGTTATCTTTTGTGCAAAATACATGAAGTTTATATTTAAAATATTCCTGGTTTTGCAAGGAATCCAGCAATGTCAATTATATTATCCTAACTTTAGTCTGAGGTATTATTTATTACCAAAAATGTAAGCCTTCTGTTTTCACCCAAACATTTCTCAGAGAAGGAGGGGCCAGTGAGCGTGGGAAGAGGGGGGGTGGGGTGGGAGTTGAGTCCATTATTTGAATGGACATTAACCGTGACTGTATTTCTCTTAAATATTAATTGTGTGTGCATACCATCATAAAATTAAGATGTTATTTTTACTACAACGTAGGTATTGTGTCGGTATTGTCGGAAAAAGTGGAGTTTGGGGGTCGGCCCAGTCTCTATTTCAATTAATCCCATATGTTCTGTTATTTCATTTAAGCGTTTCTCGTTTTACGCGGTACTCCGCGGGTTCAATTGACCGTGTAAATGAAGACCCAACTGTATTCACCAATTACAGTAACAGTTTTCTAGCCATTCAGGCAGCTGGTCTGTATTGTGCTACTTTGCTATGACATTTATTGTCCCATGTTTGTGCAAGAGGAAACTGGAGTACCTGAAGAAAACCTTTTATTTCGTAGAGTCACGGTGAAAAATACCCTCCTCACATCTGTCCCAGGCCAGGAATTTAACCCAATACATAGTAGTGAAACATATGAGTGTTACCGCCATACCACCAACATATATGGTAGTTTATCCCACTACATGATATAACTTCAAAGTTGATAAGGGTAACAAAACTCACATATTAAATTTCTTCTAGTTTCAATACATTGTAGAATTTGCTTCATTTCACATTGGCTTTACAATGCTTTCAGGTACCTCTCAACTGATCAGATGTCAGAATAGGTCATAAAAATCTTACAACTGCAGTTTAAAATTACTGTAGCTTGAGGGGTCATTTGCATCAGAACTCTCAGTTACAACGATGATGATCATGGACTTGTTGAACAATCAGACTGAAAGAAAAACCTAAAATTGTTGAACCACTACCATACGAGCATATTAACACTTTAAGTCTTCTACTATATACTGTATAGCATATGGAAGTCTACAACTGTCCTACTCAGCCTAGATACGTATGCCATACAAACTAGTTTTTCCACCCAACTGAGCATTATTCAGTTTCTAAATAATTATGTATTTGCCATATATCACCAGCAGATATATTTTACTCTGTGCTTCACAATCATCATCAGGGTGACAGAGAGAAGCACAACCTCATGACAGTGACCTAAATTATTGTACTGTAGAGGAAGCATAACAAAACTCTAAAATTGTGAACAATGGTTTCCTTATTATGTTCTGATGTTTTCTTCTTTTAATATAATTCATGATTAATTTATAAGTTAATTTTCTTTTTTTACTTAACCTTTAGGCCGTATCTGAGGTCAAGATTGAAAGGGTTAACCAGGCATGAGGGGGCATGTGATAATTCTCAAGCTCTAGTATGTGGTATAGAACCATCAGTTGTTGAAGATTTTATTGAAAAATATCAGTGTTAATAAACATTTACAGGATCAACTTGGGAACATATTGCATCTGTTACCATTGAAGTAGTGAAGGCACAAAAATATTGTGAACGTGGAAATATTCACAGCATAAATAGGTACAATACAATGAAACTTATTTAATCTAGGACATTACAGGTACAGTATATGTATCCTTAAGCAAGTAGTTAGCTATCAAGTTTCTCACCTCAGTTTCTCTGTTGCCACAGTAATCCTTCAAGAAATGCAAAAACTATCATTGTACAGTAATGCTTAATTAAGGTAAGTAAGCACTGCTTAAATTACAAGTAAGGCACTAACACATAAAAGAGTAGGAAATGTTATTGTTAAAACAGTATGTGTTTACAGTATTATGTCTTCCGATCCTAAACATACCCTTTTGCAAGTCTACCTAACAGAAGACTTACTTTGTCACATTGGTGAATATGTAGATGAGCACCTGGGGGTGGGTGACCCCCCATGGCCTCTGTCTTCTCGCACCAGGAACTGCAGATATTCTTCGCCACTGCCCTCATCATCAGCCTCTACAGGGTTAGTGTTATATATCAGTCTATCTTAAGTCTTTCCTCCTACTGTATGTCTTGATCTTCACTACTGTACTACTAAGGTGTTAGTGCTTTTCTTCACACACTTTCTTATAACTGTTAGTAATATGTAGTGTACTGAGCTATCTGAGGTGGTATTGTAAAGTGATAAATTATGACTTGAAGGTTTTTATATATACAGTAGTACCCCGATTTACGCGGTCAATTGAACCCACAGGGTACCGCGGAAAGTGAAAACCGCGTAAAGTGAACAACAGAACATATGGGATTAATTCCAATAGAGACTGGCCCGACCCCCAAACTCCACTTTTTCCGACACAATACCTATGTTGTAGTAAAAATAA